CAAGAGCTGCTCAGCTTGGTGAACCTCAACAATGAATTTGGTGACGTGGCTGCTTCTGGCAACCCCGCTGACTTCATCCCCGTGCTCCAGTATCTTCCCAGCCGCACAATGCGTTTATTTAAAGATTTCAACAAGCGATTTGTCCATTTCCTGCAGAAGATTGTCAAAGAGCACTACAAGACCTATGACAAGGTAAGAGCTTGCACGACCCTTACCTGCACCAGAGATGCATCCCCACTCTCTGCCCCTCTCTATTAGAGAGCTGTTTTTCTTCTTGCAGCCAAGCATCAATGGACATCTATGTTCTTGCAGGTATTGCTGCATTTAGCAAGTCCAGCTGTAGCCTCACTCACCTGTAGTGTCTCCATGTGCAGTCCAGTACTGCAGTCCTCCTTCTCCTCCACAGCCCTGTGTGATAGGGCCAGTTTGTTAGTTGAACCATCTGATCTGTGTCACAGGTTGTCTGGAGAACCATCTCCTCAATTTCATAGGTTGCCAAAAAAAAAGCAGTAGGGACCGTGGGGGCTGAAAGATGATGTTCTCCAGAGCTCGTATGACCCTGGGCTCCCCCAGCATCAGGTTGTTGCTCAGTAACACCCTTTCCTCTGCTGGTTCTACTGCCATGACTTGTCTTCTCTTCCTCTCAGAACAACATCCGAGACATCACTGACTCCTTCATTAAGCAATGCCTGGAGAAAAAAGTGGAAGCAAATGCTGCCACGCAGATCCCTAACGAGAAGATCATCAACCTTGTGAATGACCTCTTTGGAGCAGGTATCTTTTCCCACTGGTCCCTCAGCTACTGCAGATTTTCTCAGGCCTCTTGTGTTATAGCTCTGTCTGACCCATCTTTGTCAAACACAGGCAGCCAGTCTGGGTCTAAGCACTCGTTCTCCTGGTCACTGGTCTTCCTGGACCTTCCAGGGACACCCCTAGAGACCAGCATGGGACATTAGCTCTGGAAAGAGGCTTCAGGGAGAAGCAAAAGGCATGGTTTACATCTCAGTCAAGCTTCACAAGACAGGGTGGCTTTTCCTGGTTGAAGGAGATGTCTGTTGACTGATTCATCTTTGATTTACTCTGTGGAAACTCCCCTGATTCCAGAGAAGTTATACAAACCTGACATAACCCAACGGTGAATCAGGATGAATGAGAGCAGAATATTTATCAAAGTTTTCTGCGACAGGATAGAAACCCAAGCCTTACTGTGTGCCCAGGATGTCCTCTGCCTTCTTAGCCATGCAAGACTGCCCCATGTGATGGTTAGGCAGCAAGCCAAGGCACATGCCCTGCATGTTTTACAGACCTCATCTACATGCTTTCCTCTTTGACCAGGCTTTGACACTGTGACAACTGGCCTGTCCTGGAGCCTCATGTATCTCGTGACACACCCCAACATCCAGAAGAGGATCCAGGAAGAACTAGGTGAGTCCATGAACCTGCTTCCTCTGGGGCCAAAACCTCTCTGGTGAGGGCTGACCCCAGCCCACTCCCTCCTCTCAACCTCCCGCAGACCAGACGATCGGCCAGGAGAGGAGACCAAGGTTGATGGACCAAGGTGCGCTGCCCTACACAGAAGCCTTTATCCTGGAGATGTTCAGGCATTCCTCCTTCCTGCCATTCACCATTCCACACAGGCAAGTGCTGAGGTTGCAGAAGAGGTGGAAGAACAAGGTGGACTTCAGGCATCTTGTTACAGCCACACCAGCAGTGGTGTGGTGAGAGGCAGTGAGATTATTACTGACTTGTAGAATGATGGCTTCACCATGGACACGGGGAGCTCACAGCTCTTGTGCAGGGCAATGTGGGAGCTCTCAAAGAGCAATCCTTGCCTTCTGCTTCACTGAAGATACTCCACCCAGCTCAGGTAGGGGTTACCCAGTCCAGCTCACGGACAATGCAACTGTCCCTCATAAAGCCATCTCTTTGGGCCACATCCTTACTTCAGCAGCATCAGGAGCAAACTAACAGTTCCCTGGGGATGCAGAAGAGCCTTTTCACTTCCCAAACTTTCATAGTCGTTTCTCTCTCCAGCACAACCAGGGACACAGTGCTGAATGGCTACTACATCCCAAAGGACCGCTGCGTGTTTATCAATCAGTGGCAAGTGAATCATGACGAGTAAGTACCTTCAGAGGCAGAAAGCCTCCTGCAGTGACATGCAGGACCCTTCCTGCACAGTTATCTTCCTGGGTAGATGTGAGGTCAAGTTGCTTTAAGAGAAAAGGGAGCAGGTGAGGTATCTATTAAATTCAGGGATATTCTTACTGACAGCTCCCCCTGATCCTTCTGAGCTACCACCTTCCAGTGTCCTCCTACACCTGTGACCAGGAGACACCATCTCAGCATCTGATGTTTTCCCTTCCAGGAAACTTTGGAAGGATCCACTGAACTTCAACCCAGAGCGTTTCCTCAGTTCTGAAGGGACTGAAGTGAACAAAGTGGATGGGGAGAAGGTGCTGCTTTTTGGCCTGGGGAAAAGGAAGTGCATTGGGGAACCCATTGCCAGGTGGCAGATCTTCCTTTTCCTGTCCACCTTGCTCCAGCAGCTGGAGTTCAGTGTCTGCAGTATCAATAAGGTGGACATGACGCCACTCTATGGACTGTCCCTGAAGCACAACAGATGCGAGCACTTCCAGGTCAAGCAGCGCTTCCCCATGAAGAGCACCAACTGAGCAGTGGGCTTATCCATTGCCCAGACATCACCAGGGGGTAAAGACCTGGGTGTCCTTTTAGCAAAGCTGGGTCTGGTACAAATTTATGGGATGATATAATAAACTGAAGCCATTGAAACTCCTGTCTTATCTTGTTCACTTTGCAACATTTCTTGCCTTTTTCATTTTCCAGCATTTCTAGTGTTGGATATTCCACCAAATGTTGGAAATTCCATCACATCTAGTCTTAGTACCACAAAGCACATTTATGGGTTGTATGAACTGTTTTTTGCTAGAGGGAAAGGGAACATACTCAAAACCAGATGGCCTGAATACCATTGGGCTGTATTCTTTTAGAATCTCTCTTTGATAGCTGAAGGACAGCCAACCCGTGCCATATTCCCATGGCCTCCATCGATGTTTAAGATCTTGGCTGAAGTGATGCCCAAAGCTTGGGTGGAGATGAGGATAATGTTAGTGAGGTCCAGGCAGTATCACTATTTCCAGACTAATCAGGGCACAAATTTCCACTGTTTGAAATTTGCCTTCACTGTAGATGTGTCTGCAGGGAAAAAAACCTTGGAAAACTTGGAAAAACACTAATACTTCTCCAAGTCCTCTAAGGACAGCCTGTTCCCTTGTTTCTACACTCTGTTTTTAATTGCCTAACTGACTTGTCATGTCACTCTAAGATCCCATTCAGGAGAGGTTTATCTTTGTCCATAGAGGAGCTCAAAGCACTTTAGTACCTCCTTGTGAATCTATCAGATAACCTTGTACCAGGGGTTCTCCTGCTGCTCAGATTACTTTCTTCAGAAAAATGAGAGGGATCCTTCAAATGAACTGAGCTGGAGGAAAGCCTCCCTGGAGGGACCAGTGTGTTGGAGGACTTCAGCCACCTTAAACCTCATTCACCATAGTCCCTGCTGGCCTTGAAGGACACAAGGAAGGACACCTTTACCCCTCCCATCACTGTAGTCACCAGGTGTTTCTATACTGGGCCAGTGATGGCTGTGAAGGGTTTGTGTCTTAGCATGACTGCAATCACTGTCCCTCCCACTGTGCACCTGGCACAAGTTTCGCAGTCCACCTGGGATGAGAAGGTCCACCAAGACCAACAGGCAGTCCTTTGCTATTGAGACAGTCAAGCTGCTGGTATTCTGGGCTGGAGCAAGGGTGTTTTCACAATGGGGCAGAGGAGGAGAACAGGACTTTCTCCAACTGAAACCCAAGAGTTTACATTGGCTGCCAGTCAACCCATGACAGCAGAGCCAGATGCCTCCTTTTCTTCAACTTGCACGCAAATACATATTAGCCAACCCAATACCTAGCAAGCAATGATGCAGGAACAAGTATAACCATCCAGTGCAACACGCACTGCTCTTGAACCTATTCCCATGGGTGGCATCTGCTCAGCCATAGCCTAGACCCTGGCCAATGAGAGCTCCTTTCAGGTCTGAATACCAATCACTCATCATGCATTGCACAAAAACTTCCAAGAAGAGACAGAAATGAAAGAGCATGTTGGGGAAGAAAATGGGGAAGCTGATTGCCCAAGACTTCAGGGAGATTCCAGCTAGAGCAGGGAGGTGTTCAGACCCGCTAAACAAGCCTGAATGAAAAGGAGTAACTCTGTATGTCCAGGTCCTGCCTGGTCACTAATTTGTGATGAAACATTGAGACAATACAGCCTCAGACCCACCTGAATTCACTGAACCAGCCCAAGCAGCTACACTCCATGTCACACCGGCTTCGTCTTCACCACTCAATGTCATAATCCTAATATTGCAGGAAAAGCAAGGGTGAGGACCAGGACATCCAAACCATCATTTGAGCTGCAGGCTATCAGAGGCCTTGGAGGAAAAGTGGAAGGATGGTTTAGGACAACCCATGACGTCCATCAGCCAAATAACATCTCCCCTACCTATGACAAGGGCCATAGGTCAAGACAATAGAATCATGAACCACCTTTCTACAAGGGTCATCCCAAAGCTGGCATTCGTCTACTGCGGGTGAAGGTGGGATCGTCCTGGACATGGATCTGGGACTCTCATTGCCTAACTTGGTGATTCAGAAGAGCACCAAGACCACCAGAGACTCAGCAGCAGTGTGTCACGCCATCCCCATGGGGTGGAGAAGCTCTCACGGACTTGGCCCAGTGACTCCAGCTGCAGTGGGAACATGCTGTTGTAGGACCAGAGGTCCTGTCTGCTGGAGCCATTGCGTGACTGTCTTGCCCTGAAGGCTGGCTGTGTTTGCTGATAAGGCCCGCAATAAGCAAGTGCAGATATAAAGAAAGAACAGTGGGAATTTTTTTTTCTTGCTTTGGAGATGAGTGTTTTATGGCCGGGGGGCAGATAAGCAGATTAATATTAACATTACTGAGGTGAAATAGCTCCTTGCTGGTGGAAGGTCTCCCCTAGATACATCTGTCAAGGGCTGATTGCCTCCCCTGGGGACACTGCCACCAGTCTCCATCGGGTACAGCCTGGAAACCAGAGACCTTGGAGAAAAAGTCACCCCAGTGTCGGGATGGAGAAGGGGAAGGGAAGAGGCTCAAAGGGAGAGAAATGGGCAGGTTGTTATCCTTCCCCACACAGCCCTTCTTTTCATGGTGTTGGAGGCAAAACACCCCACTTTATAAAGCTCCATCTTCATTTGGCATCTCTCCCTCCCCCTGATGCCAATGGAGACATCCCATGCAGCTGCGGGCAGCTTGCACAGTCAGGAAGACCCCCTGAGACCTTGGTCTGATGTCCCTGCAGGCACACATCTCCTTGGACATCCTGGCCCATTCAACAGCCTAGAGACCCCAGGTGAGGTCCCACTTTTCTTGCTGAGGAAGCTGCAATCAAACTGCCCTTCAATCCCAGCCACCCCGATCCCAAGCCCAGGCATCCTGCCTGCTCCTGGACAATATGGTTGGAACATCAAAGCTGAGCAGGCTCCTTCACCAGATGTTTTCTCTGCTGGGAGTCTTGGCAGCCCACAGCATGCAGGGAGGAGTGCAGTGAGCATGGTCCAAGTATCAAACAAGGTACCCCAGCTCTGCACTGCTTTTTGCTCTGGAGCGGAGCTGCACACCCAGATCCTTCCACTCACCCAGGGACCCTCTGTGAGGAAGGGATGGGGTACCCTGCTCCCTTTGAGGGTGCAGGATCTCTGCTCTTCACCTCCTCCTCTTCCCCATTGCCTCCTGATAAACAAATCCATTGATCATTGTCGTGAAAGCCCCAGTTGCTCACAGTAGGTAAGGGACTCCAGCTCCCCTATCTTCATCTTTCCCCTAACGATCTTCCTCATTTAAGCACTCCAATTACTCTGCAGGTAGCTTACAAGTGCTGTGATTTCGTTACTGGAACTGGGGCAGTGATAAGCCAGGGGAGCTTTTATCACCCCATGGCAAATTGCTTTTATTGTCGGTTTTAAAATGAGTCAGCAGACCAGCCATGGCAGCTGGGCTCCAGCTCCACTTCCAAAGAGGGGGATGCTGCCGGCTCCCTCATTCCCACAAGGAATGGTCCAGGCAACCACACACCTTCTCCCTCGAGCTGAGACACCTGCCTGGTGTTGGCATTTGGGCTGTTGGCATCTCCTTGCCAGGAAAGCCTGTACCCAGCCCTGAAATGGGTGAGAGGAACCACTTGTGGCTCTTCCTCCCCGGGTGGAAGGAAGAGGGGAGTTGCTCCAACACTTAATGACCCTCCTCGTTAAAAGCGCATCCTGTATTTCTAACTTCTTTCCTTTGGCTGTTTGTTTATTCTCCCATGAGATCTGTTATCAGCAATCATCTCCCCGTGGAGATTAACTCTTGGGTGTCTCCCTTTTGCTGCTTGTCCCCAACATTGGTGACAGTCCCTGGACATCAAAAATGTCATCTCTTGATGCCCTAGAACTTAAAAGAAAGCTCTGAATTGCACCTTAAACTCTGTATTTCTGAGCCATGCATGCTTTCTTTATGCCAGTGGTTTTGGGGACACCTCCCTCGGAGCTGGTGGCAGCTGATCCTCTAAGCATGGTGGGCTTTGCCCCAGCATCCCACTTGCCCTGCTGCACTCTCAGGCCTTGGGAGCTCCTTCCCATGGACAAAGAAACCCCCAGACACCATCTTTCTCCTTGCAGCTCTACTCCTGGGACACAGCTGGGTTTCCCCATGCCTTGAACCCCAGGAGCAGCTGCTTCGTGGCAGGGATAATGGCTGGTTTCTGCCTTTTGGGGGAGAAAATCTCTGCTCAGTCTCCAACACTGAGCAGCTTCTGGGGTGCTGGAGCTGGTGGGACCTTCCTCTGGTGAAGTTTCCTTCTGTGGTAGGTTGGAGAAGACGTTGGTCCTCTGCTCAACCCAGGCTAGACCTGTGGATGGAGGAGAGCTCAAGATGACAGAGCTGGACACATTAAACCTGGTAAGAGGCTCTGCCCCTGTTTTGTGAGGGTTCTCAAATCGGTATGAACCTTTCTTCCTCCTCCCATCCTTCACCTCCATCTTCCCTCTGGAAAGGAGACAGTGTTTGGGCTGATCGATTGCCCCTTGTCATTAGAGGTACAAGGTACCTGTTAATCAGAGAACATGAAAGCGGGTAAGGATGGAGTTTGTCCCCGGGTTAAGAAAGGAACAACGGAGATGCAGAGATAACTGCTCCCTGCACGTAAAGTGCTGCCAGAGAAAAGCTCCAGGCTCCCGGGAATGGCCTCACCCCTGGCTGACCCCCAACCCTGGCATGGCCATGGGCATGATTTTCCATTGGGGGAAGGAAAAGAGGGGAGAGATGGGGAGCAGCCCCGGAGACACGTCCCCACGGAGCCAGGGGCCACCAGGTCCTGCAAGCACTGGCAGTGTGAGCCAAAAGCCTGTGGGATTTTGGGTGCTCCTCAAACCCAACCTCAACAGCAGGATGCGGGCTGGACAGCCAGGATGCATCCAGGGCTGGCAGTCACCTGTATGTCCCCAAAGCTGGCTCTGTGTCTGCCAGTGGCAGGGCAGCACCAGCTACCACAGAGCAAGGGTAGTTCTGGTCACACGGGGGGACAGGCTCTCATCTCTCCGCACAGACCCCCCACTAATTGGCCCCATAATAAGGGGTCCCAGTTGACTGCTCTGGTCTCGTGCCCCTAAAATCAGCTCCCAGAACCCCA